GTAAAATTCGAACCACCGCTTGTGAAAAAAGAAATAGTGCAATGCAAAAGTAATGCCAAGGTACGGTCATACGCAGAAATACTGCAACCATACTTTCCCCTGCGTTGTGCAGGCACTCACTCCACTGACCAGTGCGCTAAATCACCGGAAACCCCAGCGAAATGCATATACTGTCAAGGTGACCATCCTGCCAACTACAAAGGCTCCTCAGCATATAAAACTCTATACACAAACAGGTACCCTAAACTCAGAGCAAAAGAGGTAACCAACCAAACACCCAGCCCGCCGAAATTCACGACTACCCCAATCCCCTCAACCAACCAAACACCCAGTCCTACCAAATTCATCATCACCTCAACCTCTTATGCCCAAGCAGTACAAGGCATCCAAAATAACCCGAATAGACAAAGGGATGTTTCCCAAAATAGTGTCCCCAATTCTCCTAACACAGACAACTTCTCTAGGCTTGAAAAGCTAATAGAAAAACAATAGGAGCAAATAAATAATTTGCTATCGCTACTAACACTCATCATGGATAAATTAATACGCCCCAACGCAAAATAAAACCAAGGCTCATAGCTCTTTGGAAAGCCAACGGTCTAGCGCAACGCAAACTTGAACCAGAACTCTTCCTAAAACACCAGCAAATCGACATAATGCTCGTATCGGAAACTCAGTTCACCGACAATAACACACCAACTGGCAGCTCTTTAGAGAAGTCTTTACTCACTCAACTTAACTCCACTAGAAACAAAGGAAGAAATCGAAGCAGCCACGGAATACTTAAACACGAGCATAATAAACGCAATCCACCTCTCCACACCGACAAAGACACCGCTTCCCCACACCGACAAAGACGTCTATCAGCAAACAAGAATATCCCCAATACATATTAGAAAAAATAGCAGAAAAACGTAGACTAAGAAGAGTATGGCAGACCCATAGAACACCGGATGACAAACGCAAACTAAACAACGCAACTAGAAAGCTATCCAAAACCATAAAAAATTACACAAACGACTGTTTCCAAAAATATCTCGCCAGTTTATTCTTCACAGCCGACTCCAACTTCTCACTATGAAAGGCCCCCAGAAAAATCACACGCCCCCCCACAAATAATCCCACCAATTCGCCGTCCGCAAGGTAAAAGCCGACCTGTTTGCTAAATACTTGTCTAAAGTATTCAAACCCCATTCCCCCAAAGCTGGGGCGGACGTTACTGAATACTTGCACACCCCCTTCCAAATGTCCTTTCCTATCGAACCCTTCACTTCTGCAGAGACTATAGAAACAATCAGTCGCCTAAACCCTAAGAAAGCAGCAGGACACGACCTAGTAGGCAATAAAGCAATCAAGGAACTTCCCATAAAAGGGATCGCACTCATCACATCGATTTTTAATGCTATCCTTCGCCTTGAACATT